ATCCTGGGACAACTCTCTCTGCCAGGTGGTAGTGACATCAGAAATAGAAAGATAATACAGTTGAATGCATGGCTGAAGAGAGAAGTGCAGGAGAGAGAGCTTTAGATACTTGGATCATTGGGATTTCTTTCAGAATAGGAAGGATCTGGTAGTGTTGTTGAACAGAGAGTCCTAGGGTACAGGTACATAGTTCCTTGAAAGTGGCATCACAGGTGGACAGGATGGGGAAGTAGGCGTTTGGCATGCTTGCCTTCATCAGTCAGAGCATTGAGTATAGGAGTTGGGGCGTGATGTTACGGCTGTACAAGACATTGCAAGGCCACATTCGGAGTACTGCATACAATTCTGGTTGCCCTGCTATAGAAAGGTTATTCTTAAACTAGAAAGGGTGCAAAAATGATTTACTAGTTTTGGACTTTACTATCTTGGGGAAAAGACCTTGGCTATTACCTTATCTGTGCTCCTCATGATTTTATAAATCTCTATAAGGTCACCCCTCAACCTCCTACACTCTAGCGAAAAAAGACCCAGCCTATCCAGCCTCTCCTCATAACTCAAACTCTCCATTCCTGCAATATCCTGGTAGATCTCTTCTGAACACTCTCCAGCTTTAAAATATCTTTCCTACAACAGGGTGACCAGAACTGGACACAGTATTCCAGAAGAGGCCTCACCAGCAGCCAGTACAACCTCAATATAGCGTCCCAACTCCTATACTGAAAGGTCTGAGCAATGAAGGCAAGCGTGGTAAATACCTTCTTAACCACCTTGTCTATATGTGATGAAACCTTCAAAGTATTGTGTACCAGAGAGAATTGTGTCTCTGTTCCACAACACTACCAAAGGCCCTACTTTTAATTGTCTGAGTCCTGCCCTTGTTTGTTTTACCAAAATGCAATACCTCAAATTTATCCAAATTAAACTTCATCTGCTACTCTTCAGTCCATTGATCCAATTGATAAAGATTTCCCTGTAATCTTAGATAATCTTCTTCACTGTCCAATATACCACCAATCTTTGTGTCACCTGCAAACTTACTAACCATGCCTTCCAATATTCTCACCTAAATCATTTATATAATGCCACACAAAAGTGGACCCAGCACCAATCCCTGTGGAGCACCAGTGGGGTCATAGGCCTCGAGTCTGATAAACAACCCTTCACCATTACTGTCTATCTCCTGCTGTTAAGGAAATTTGTATCCAATTGGTAAGCTCACCCTGAATACCATGTGATTTAACTGTACTAATTAGTCTACCATGTGGAACCTTGTAAAAGGTTTTACTGAAGTCCATATAAACAATGTCTACCACTCTACCCTCATCAATCTCCTTGGTTGCTTCCTCAAAAAGCTCAGTTATGGTTAAGAGACGTGATTTCCCTCGCACAAAACCATGCTGATTATCCTTGATTATTCCTTGCCTCTCCAAATGCATAAAAAAAATCCCTTCCGTCATCTTACCCACCACTGATGTCAGACTCTATAGTTCCCAGGCTTCTCCTTACATCCCTTCTTAAACTTTGGCACAACATTAGCCACTCTCCAGTCATCCGGCACCTCACCCATAGTTATAGATGATGCAAATATTTCTGCTAGGGGCCCTGCAATTTCCTCTCTAACTTCCCACAAAGTCATGGGATACACTAGATCAGATCCTCGAGATTTATCTACCTGTATATTTTCTAAGACCTCCAGCACTACCTCTTCTGTAATGCGAACTGATTCTAAAACATCAATATTTATTTCTCTGAGTTCTCTAGCCTCCAATTATTTCTACACAGTAAAAACTGACAGGAAATATTCATTTAAAATCCCTCCAATCTCTTTAGATTCAACACAAAGATGGTTCCTTTGATCTTTAAGGGAACCTACTCTCTCTCTAGTTGCTCTCTTGTTGGCTACATGGACTTTACTAAAGCATTTGACAAGGTCCCTCATTGTGGGCTAATCGAGAAGATTTAAGTTGCGTGAGATCCATGCTGAATTGGTAAATTAGATACAAATTGACTTGGTCACAGAAGACAGGATAGTTTTGGAGGAGTATTTTTCTGACTGGAGGTCGTGACCAGTGGTGTTCCACAAGAATCAGTACTGGGGCCTCTGTTGGTTGTAATATATGTGAATGGTTTGGATTGTAATAAAAAAAGTTTGGAGCTGACGTGAACATTGGTGGAATTGTGAATAGTGAGAAAGGTTGTCAAAGGATACAGCAAGCTAAGGATCAGTTGGAAAGTTGGGTGGAGAAATGGCAGATGGTGTTTAATCCAGACAAGTGTGAGGTGATGCATTTGAGGTCAAATGCAAGAGAAACGTCTCCTATCAATGGCACGACTCTTAAGAGCATTGATATACAGCTGGATATTGGGGTGCAAGTCCATAGCTCCCTAAATGTGGCAACACATTGGGATAAGTTTGTAAAGAAGGCATCTGGCATGCTTGCCCTCATCATTCAGGGCATTGAGTACAAAAGTTGGCAAGTCATGTTGCAGCTGTACTTAGAGTATTATGTGCAGTTCTGGTCGCCACACTACAGGAGGGACCTGGAGGCTTTGGAGAGAGAGCAGAAGAGGTTTACCAGGTTGTCACCTGGATAGGAGTGTATCAGTTATAACAAAAGGTTGGCCAACTTGGAATGTTTTCATTAGAGCATCGGAGGCTGAGGGGCAGCCCCTTAGAAGTATATAAAATTATGGGAGGCATGGATAGGGTAGACAATTGGAGTCTTTTTCCCAAGGTAGAAATGTCAAATATTAGTGAATAGGTTTAAGGTGAGGGGGGGAAAGTTTAAAGGACATTTTTTTAAAACAGAAGGTGTTTGGTTCCTGGAACATGCTAACAGGGGAGGTTGTAGAAGCAGAAAGAACATTTAAGAGGCATTTAGACAGCCACATGAGCAGACAGGGAATAGAGGGATACAGAAGATATGCAGGCAGATGGGGTTGTTTAGAATGGCATCATATTTGGCACAGACATGGTGGGCTGAAGGACCCTGTTCTTGTGCTGTACTATCCTTAAAAAAAAGTTACCCTTTGTGCAAAGAAATGTTTCCTGACACTTCTGCTGAATTACCTAACTCTCATTTGAAAGTTAGAACCAACACGTATACATAAGCAGGATTCCATTTTCTGCAAAGGAAGGAATATTGCCTTTATTCATTCATGGGATGAGGACGTCACTAACTAGGCTAGCATTTATTGCCATCTGTGATTGACCAGAAGGCAGTTAAGAGTTAATCACTTTGCTGTGTTGAAACATATGTTCAAATCTTGCACTTTCTTTTACTTTCCCAGGAGCTTGTGGAGCCGATACTTGCTCATTGCTTTTTCCATGGCAACATTGCAGCCAGTTAGTGTGTATTTGCTAATCAATCAATACTTTTTTCTCATGGAATATAAATAATCTGAAATTTGAAATTCTTGCATTCGTTCTAATGGTGCAAGTTTTGAAGCTTCAACAATATGTCTGTTTTTCTGACAATGTTATCGTTGCATCCCTTTCTCTGGATTTGCCCAATAACAAGTACTTAATAATTTTCATTCAACAGAGTACCTCTTAACCTTCTGTACTCCAGGGAACACAAGGTGAAATTTGTGCAGTCTTTTCTCGGTATCATTCTGGTGAATTTGTGCTGAAATCTCTGAACGAATCAATCTTTCTTAAGATGGTAGCAGCCTTCCAGTTCATAAAACACTGTTTTATGCCATAATGGTAAACCTTGTGATGAGTGTAGTCTTTTCTGAGGGCAGTGCAGTTGATGTAGTTTATATGGATTTCAGTGAAGCCTTTGACAATGTCCCACATGAGAGACTGATAAAGAAGGTAAAAGCACATGGCATCTAGGCTAACTTGGCAACTTGGATGCAAAATTGTCTTAGTGATAGGAGACAGATGGTAATGATTGAAGGCTTTATGTGTGACTGGAGTCTGATGTCCAGTGATGCTGAGTCACTTATCGTTCATGATGTATATAAACCTTATAATGAGCATGTGGTGGGAGATGATAAGTAAGTTTGCAGATGACACAAAAGTTGGCTAGGTGGTTGACGGTAAAGAAGAATGTTTTGAGTTACAGGAGGACATAGTTGTGTTGATCAGAGAGGTACATCAGCAGCAAATGGAATTTAACTCTGATAAATGTGAGATGATGCGCTTTGGAAGAAATAACAAGACAAGGGGGTACTCAATGAATGGCAGGATTCTAGGAAGCTCAGAGGACAGAGGGATCTTGGAGTGCTTGTCCACAGATCCCTAAAGGTGGCAGAATAGGTTTGCAGAGTGCTTAAGAAGGCATACGGGACATGAGACTTTACAAATCATGGCATAGATTTTACGAGCAGGGCGGTTATGTTTGAGCTGTACAGCATTTTGGTTAGGCTACTGCTGGAGTACTGTGTGCAGCTTGATCACTGCACTATAATAAAGATGTGTTTGCACTGAAGGGTTGCAGAAGAATTTCTCCAGGATGTTACTTGGTATAGAGCAGTTTTGCTATGAAGAGAGGCTGAATAAGCTTGGACTGTTTTCTTTAGATTAGAGAAGGCTGGGAGGGGGGGCGACCTGATAGACGTATATAAGATTATGAGGGCCATGGACACGGTGGATAGAAAGCAGCTGTTCGCCTTAGCTGAATGGTCGACAACAAGTGGACATACTGTCAAGGTGAATGGCAGGAGATTTAGGGGTGAATTGAGGAAAGATTTTTTCACTCAGAGGATGGTGGGAATCTGGAATTCATTGCCTGGGAAGACTGCACAATTTTTAAAAAGTACCTGAATTGGTACTTGAAATGTCACAACATTCAAGGCTATAGGCCAAGTGCTGGAAAGTGGGACTGGTTTAGATGTAGAAGCTATAAATGGAAGGAATTGCAGGGAGGTGCCATTTGTACAGAGTCCTGGGAAGAGCTTTTTTTTGATTCCTTGGAAAGTCGTGGTTGAAGATATGGTTTGAATAAATATTGTAGAACAAAAGTATAATTAGTTTATTTTTTGCCCTTCAGAGTGCAGGTGAGGGATCGAGAGATTAAAGTTAACATCTTTGATATGGCAGGTCATCCTTTCTTCTATGAGGTGGGTAAGACAGAGAGAAAGATCTTGCATTTATGTTTGCTTTTCTTTCTGCCAGAATGTGACAAAGTGCTTATAGACAAATATATCAGATAGTTTGCACACAGCAGAGTCTTAACGGTTTGCAATGAGATGACTAGTTTATCTGTTTTTCATATTGATTGAGGAATAAAGTCAACCTCCTGGAGAACTCTTTGTGCTTCTAGTTGTGTAATGTAATCCTTTGAATTAAAATGAAAGAGATATTCTAACAGGTGGTTTGTTCAGCCCAATATGCCTGTGTTGATTTTGTGCATATTCTCCACACAAGCAATACCCTATCCCATTTATCCTTACTATTCGCATACCCTGTCATCCTTCATTCTTCCTATCACCTGTCTAGCCAGTTATTAAACATTATTAAGAAATTGCTTACATTATTAGCCTTTTTTTTGCAGTCTTGTGATTTAAAGGCTTGGGGAAATTAGTTCATTTTAAAAGACTGAGGTTTCTTTTAAACTATCACAAAAAGGGACACTTGTTAAAGTCACGTATCTTAAGCTAACTGCTTGGACTTATTTACTGGGATCATAGGTCTGAGATTATTGCTGTCAGGAGTTGTGCCTATTTGATACTGTTTGCAGCTCAGTTGGTACCTAACCTGCAGAGAGAAGTTACCCTCTTCCACCCGTTTTAAAAAAATCTTCTGAGAATCCAGAGTGAAGGCTGAAAGAACTGATGCAGCAATGTAGAGTTATAAAAATGTACAGCACAGAAACAGACCTTTTGGTCCAACTCGTCCATGCTGATTAGATAACCTGAATAAATCTAGTTCCATTTGCCAGCATTTGGCTCATATCCGTCTAAACCCTTCCTATTCATATACCCATCCCAGAAGCCTTTTAAATGTTGTAATTGTACCTGCCGCCACTGTTTCCTCTAGCAGCTCATTCCATACATGCATCACCACCAGAGGGGAGGCGATGACCTCGTGGTATTATCACTGGACTGTTGATCCAGACACCAAGATAACGTTATGGGGACCTGAATTCGAATCCCACTACGGCAGATGGTGGAATTTGAATTCAATAAAAATGTGTGGAATTAAGAATCTAATGATGATTGTGAATCCATTGTCGATTGTTGGAAAAACCCATCTGGTTCACCAATGTCCTTTAGGGAAGGAAACTGCCATCCTTACCCAGTCTGGCCTACATGTGACTCCAGACCCACAGCAATGTGGTTGACTCTTAAGTGCCCTCTGGGCAATTAGGGATGGGCAATAAATGCTGGCCTAGCCAGAGATGCCCTCATACCGTTAATGAATAAAGAAAAAAAAAACCCTCTGCGTGAAAAGGTTGGCCCTTAGGTCCCTTTTGAATCTTTCCCCTCTCACCTTAAACCTATACCCTCTAGTTTTGGACTCCCGCACCTCAGGAAAAAGACCTTGTCTATTTTCCCTATCCATGCCCCTCATGATTTTATAAACCTTTATAAGGTCACCCCCACAGCTTTCGATATCCCAGGGAAAATAGCACCAGTCTACTCAGCCTCTCCCTATGGCTCAATCCCTCCAACCCTGGCAACATACTTGTAAAAAAAAATAAAGTAAATGTTTGCCAATAGAGATTTTTTTTAAAAAATCTCATTTTTCAGAGCCTCTGTATCATTCATTAACTGATGGGATCAAAACTGAATTATTCCTACTAGGTTCTTGTCGAAAAACAGTAGTGCCCTTTGTATTGGTTCAGCCTGGAAACTTCCTTTTGACGTCTCTTGAACAAATTGCTTCTGAAAAGATCCCTGTGACACTGCATAGATCTGATGACATCTGTGTACATGTGTCAGGAAGACCATCCGAAACTTTTCATATTTTATTCATTTCCTTCAAGAATTAACAATCATTTGGCCAAAGGATATATTTTTAAAATTTATCTGTGCAGAAAGTTTCTTCATTTTTCATTAGCCAGTATGTGTGCATGTGTATTAAGATTATTTTGTAGGGCTAGTATTTATATTCTCATATTTCAAATTGTAAGTTTTGCACAAAAACAAAGTTGCTGTAAAAGCTCAGCAGGTCTGGCAGCATCTGTGAAGGAGAAAACAGAGTTAACGTTTCGGGTCCGGTGACCCTTCCTCAGAA